CGCAGAGAAGGCTGCTGGGCTGGGCCGGACAGGGCGTCTGAGGCGCATCCACTAGAAAAGACGGCTAAGCGATGTTCGCCCACTCACATCTTCATTCCTTATCTAAACTTCCTCTCAAGAGGTCAAAATAAGGGGAAGTGAACAGAATGTGGTTTAAAAGAAAGATTATTCATGTCTTGTGAAACACGCTTTAAATTGTTCTAGGCCATTTGCTAGGAGAAACAAAGCCTGGTGACGGGCAAGGGTAGGATACTAAAGATCAATCCTGACTGTTCCTCTTGCAAGTAAGAAGATGAAACATTAATCCTCATTTTACAAAGAAGGAACTGATTTTTTTCTTTTTAATGACATGTTTTTCTAATGACAAATAACGTATGTTCACTGTGTAAAACATAAAACACAGATAAAAAAATGTTCTGTCTATATTTACAATTTAAATGTAATATGGTTATATATTTATTCCTTTTCTATGCACATAAAAAAACACATACTTGTGCCCTGGCCAGAAGGCTCAGTTGATGGGAGCGCCATCCTGTATACCAAAAGGCTGCAGGTTCGATTCCTGGTCAGGGCACATGCCTAGGACATGGGTTTGATCCTGGTTGGGACATGTAGGAGAGGCAGCTGATTGAAGTTTCTCACACAGACCTTTCTCCCTCTCTTTTTCTTTCCCTTCCCCCCTCTCTAAAATCAATAAACATATCCTCAGGTGAAGATGAAAAAAAAACCACATGCATACTCACAGAGTTTTGAGGAAACATCTAGCAAACTGACAGATCTACAATTTTGAAGAAATGGAAAGTTGCACTTTTTTGTAGCTTTATATTTATTGTTTACATTATCACAGATAGCCCCATTTTTCCTTTCCCCCTGTGACCGCCTCTACCTAGCCCTTGCCCCCCACCACCTTCGCTCAGGCCAGGAAAGCTGTACTTTCTATAAATAGAGTTAGTTATGTAGGATCTGCTGATTATAGAGTCTGTCCTGCTAGGGAATTAAAATATATAATTTAGGAATTAGAGCCCACTCCTTAGAACAAGATTTAGATAGTTCTGATGGCAAATACTTCAAAACTGGGAGTAAAATGTAGTTATTATTAGGTTGAGGAATTCTTAGGGCTTCCAAAACACAGGATGAAACCGAAAGAAAAATAAACATATCGAAGAAATGGTGTATCTGCATCTCCTCACCCCCCTTTGGAGCCGTGTGGGAGGCAAGGTCCTGAAGTTCGCATTTGCCGCAGCCCGGTGCTGACTGTCAAAGGCAGCGTCTTCCCTCACGATTCTAGAGTTTAAAGTCTCTGAGAAGGAAACGTGCACTTCTACTGTCTAATTTTTCTGGAATTTGTAGTGAGTACACTAAATTTAGCAAATGGAAATGACAACTTTACATATTGAAAAAGACAAAGGAAAATTATTTATAAATATTACTGTGGTCTATTTGGAAAACCTATGAGAAAATGTTAAACAAGTTCAAAGTTCAGTAAGGTGGCCAGTTTCAAAATAGTATTTTAAAAAATCAACTTCTTTCCTCATAAGCCATAAGCAGTTAGAACGCCCTTCTCAGTCACAACAAAGGCAGCATACGGTACAGTACTGAAGACCACACTTACAAGAGACCTGCCAAACTCTAACAAAGAAAACTATCCATCTGCCCTGAACAGTATTTAACACTGAAGAAAGAGAAAGCTGCATATGTTATTGAATAAATATATTTAATGTAATGTGTGAGGTCTTAAAATTTTTAAAAATGTAATTCTAAGAGAAATCTCACTGAGATTTTATAACTTACAAAAATAATTCTAAACTTCCAGGAAAAAACATAATAGGAAAATGTCTGAAAACAGACTAATTAGGGGAGACATGCCCTAACCAACATGAAAGTGAATTTAAAAAGTATTAAAACAGACCTGACACAGAAATATACACTCACCCCCTAAGTTATAACCCAGCTAGATTAAAACTGGATCCATACCAGGCACCTTATACAAAAATTAACCTGAAATGGAGCAAAGACCTAAGAACTACAAATCAAAAACTTCTAAAAGAAGACACAGGAAAACACTTTGGAACTCTGGGTTAAGTAAAGATCTAGTACAATGACTTTCAACCTTCTATTTTTATCTCATGGCACACAAAAACTACTAAAATTCTACAGCACACCAAAAATTGTGGGGTGGGGGGCTCCTCCTGCAGGCCCCCCCCGCACCCCGGCTACCACAGATGAGAGTAAGTCTACCAAGACATGATCTGCTTGGGGAGGAAAGGTGGCCAGTCTCTCAAAGGAGAAGGGCCAGGACCCTGTTCCTCAATGGGCTTTTACTGGGTTCATTTACACAAGAATTCAGGTAAAGCTCATTAATCATTGCCAGGAAGTAAGGATCAAACAATAGATAACAAAGAACTCTGAGGGCCTATTTTGAGTCAGGTCAGATAGCTAAAGAGCTGTAAAACTTTGAGGAACAAACTTACTTCTTCCTTGGACCCTTATCATTTCATTGAGAGCATTCTAAACAAAGCAGGTTTCACAGGATTTGACATATTCTTTCTTAGGCCTGATTGCCTAGGGAACTCGCCCTTTCCAGCACAGGGCTGCACCACCCTCTGCCATTGTTTCAGGCTTAGGTGGAGCAAGGGAAGTAAGGTAGCCAAGAGATTAGGAGACTTCTCTCAGACAGAATCAGGACTCAGGCTTTGTCAAAGCCTAGGGGCGAGGGTCCATCACCCCCTTTTGCTCTAGCCCCCAAAGTCCTTCCTTGGGGGCCACCCATGTGATCGTGGCTTGTCTTAGGTCATTTCCCCCTTGGGGAATCTTACTCATCATTGGCCAACCGACCAAGCATTGGGGGCCAGTTATGGATGAAGTAAAAGGAGCAGAGGCGGTGCTTCTGCCAGGGAGATAAGCTTTTGTCTCCTTGGTGGCTTACGGTTCAAGGTCACTCCCTCAGCCTTAGCCTTGGTGGGGGTTACAGCCTCTGAAACCAGGCAGGGCAGTTCTATGCCCTAACCAACATGGTGAATTTAAAAAGTATTAAAACAGACCTGACACAGAAATACATACTCACCCCCCAAGTTATAACCCAGCTAGATTAAAACTGGATCCATACCAGGCACCTTATATAAAAATTAACCTGAAATGGAGCAAAGACCTAAGAACTACAAATCAAAAACTTCCAAAAGAAGACATAGGAAAACACTTTGGAACTCTGGGTTAAGTAAAGATCTAGTACAGTGACTTTCAACCTTCTATTTTTATCTCATGGCACCCAAAAACTACTAAAATTCTATAGCACACCAAAAATGTGTTATACTTTTTGCCAATCTGACAAAAAAATAGGTATAATTTTGATTCATTCACACTAGACAGCTATTGTTGTGTTGGCTGTTGTCATTTTTTTTTAATTTGACAATCTAAGGGAGAAGAGTCACTGATCTATTACGTAGGCAAGAATCAAAATGAAAATGTAAATTAGATTTCATCAAAAGTAAAGACTTCTGCTCCACATTAAAAAAAAAAAAACAGATGAATGAAATGAAGAGACAAGTATAGATCAGGAGAAAGTATTTCTGATGAAAGATTTGTGTCCAGAATGTATAAATAATTCTTCTAACCAAATACAAAGACAACTCAATTTTTAAAGAATGAATGAGCCAAAGATACGAATAGACACATTAAAGAAGATATGCAAATGGAAGATGTGGGTATAAAAAAATGCCCAACATTATTTATCATTGTAGAAATTTCAACTAAAAGCATAATGAGATATCACTATACACCCAATGAAAATGGCTAATATTTTAAAAACGGACATCATCAAACATTAACAAAGATGTAACATAGCTTTAGGGAGAGTAAAATTGTACAGTCAATTGCTAAAACAGTTTGGCAATTTCTGATAAAGTTAAACATGCATTTAGTGTGTGACCCAACGATCCTATGCCTAGATATTTACCCAAAAGAAATGAAGCCTATGTTCACACAAAGTGTGTACCAATGTTCACAGCACATTTACTCCTGATGATGCCCCAAGCAAAAAACAACCCAAATACCATCTACCGGGGAATGGATAACAAACTGAAGTATATCAATACAGTGGACTAATACTCGACAAGAAAAAGGAACAAACTACTGATACACGCTGGACGAATCTCAAAAGCATCATGCTAAGTTAAAGAAGCTAGACACAAAAGGCTAGACGTTATCTAATTCCATTTATATGGAACTCTTGGCAAGTGAAAATTACAGAAAGCAGTGGTTGCCGGTGGCTGCAGGTGGGGACAGAGACGGACTACAAAGTGGCATGAAGGAACGTTTTGGGGATTGATGGAAGTATTCCCCTGATTTTTCTTTTTTACTTAGATGGTTATTCCATAATTAGATACATTTGTCAAAACTCTGTCCATCTAAAATGGGTAAATTTTATGATGTGTGAACTATGTTACTAAAGCTATTTGTTTTTATACTTGATCACAGCTAAAAGGCCAAGAAGTGATAAGTTAATTCTTTTAAGTTAGAGAAATAAGGCACTTTTACGTCTTGAATTTAAGTTTCCATGTGCTTATTCTGGGCTCAGCTTAAGTTACTTTTCTAAGTTAGCCAGGCCTTTGCTGGTTATGTCCTAAAAGTCCTTCACCATGACAGTCACAGAAAAAGGCCAGGGTGGTAGTGCTCAGGGCCAGCCAGTCAGGTGAAGACAGTCACGAGGTCAGTTGCAAACACAAGCATGCTTCTCTGACGTTGGTGACACGCTGGAACTAGAGATACAGATTTGGGAACCATCTGTGGAAAACAGTAGAAACCAGGGAGTTGACAAAATCGTCCTCTTCTCACTGCCACCTCTCACTCCTTTCTAATCCACAGAACCACAGGAAGCACTGGAGTTAAATCTCCAATTGGTGAATGACCTGAATTTTAAAAGATCAGCTTTTTCCATCGGGCAGTAACGACTGAATCTAAACACATTTTCAGTGTATTTTTATCTCCAAACTCGGACATCTCACCTGGTTTAGTTTTTCTGTGTCATTCAGCCTCGACATCTCCGCGCCACTGGCCTCAGGAGTCTTCCTCACGTTCAGCACTTGCTTCGCTGGTTCCATGTTTACACTGGGTCGGGAAAAGCGTGCCTTTGCTCCTGGGAAGCCTGGGGGGGTTGACCCTTCTTGTTTCATCCTGAAAGGCTGGGTGAAAATTTTACCTTCTGCGAATAAAAGGGGAGAAAAGTTGTCACTGGAAGCGTCTAGTTTATTTTAGGTTATCTACAAAGGCTACTGAGAGCTTGGAAATAAAAATTAAGGAAAGTAAGCCAACATTTTCAATATTAAGTCAATAAAATTTATATATGGTGAAAGTGACTAATCATCTACAGGAGAAAATCAAGATCGTAAGTGTGTTACTGAAAAAGTTGAGACTATCTAAAACTCCATGCTCTGAATATAATTACAGAGAGATCGGATTCAGTAAGTCAAAACCCAAACGCTGCATCTTCTTTAGGAGACCAAAAAGTCTCCAAGCAAGGAGTCTGCTTAGAATTATGCTCCTCAAACTCGGTATGCAGCAGGGAGGTGGGGGGATGGGAGGAAGGAACAGCTGCAGAACAAGGATACTATTCTAGAATATAGATTTCTTCCTTCAGGACTGGTAGGACAAGAAATAGCACTGGAGGGGTGTTTTCTGTTGTACAGCACAAATGATCCAGCCCTGGACCTCACCTCTTTACCCTAAGATCAAGTTAAAAAAAATTACTTTCAACATATCCTGATGATAAAAAGAAAAGCCATGGATTGGGAACTTACCTCTTGTAAGTTTAATAAGCATGAGTTAGCCTCCCTAAGCTTGAGCACCTCAAGAAAACTGATCCAGTTGAGGGCTGGACTCAACACTCAGTGGCCCCCACAGACTTCCCTGACCAGAGCACACGAACCCCCTGGCATGTCCTCGTCCAATTACATTGCCCACCCCTGTTTAAATACTGGCTTGTAAACGCATGGTATTCTCATGGTTCACCTAGAGTAATCTAAATACAGGTTTCTGAGAAAAAGAAACACCACTGAAATAGGCATAGAATCCCCCAAAATGTACATATACAGATTCTATACTGTTGAGGATCTAGAGAAACACTATACAGTACAAATGATCATACTGGCTTTCTGAGCCTTTGAGGACAGTGATTGGGAAGGATGGGTCAGCAGTATTAAGAGCTGGGTGTCTAATCCTGGCTGTACCACGTTTCCAACCAAGGGACTCTGGGAGAGTCATTTAGCTCTCCTGAGTTTTGGTACCCTTATCTATAAGATGGGGTTACTCATCCTATTTGTCTAGGGTATGTCAATGAGAACCCAAGGTAAAATGTTGTACAATAATAAGGTGCTTATCATTTCAGTACATAAATTAATGCAGTGCCTGCTACCTGCCACACCAAAGATCAGCGATGATGAAGATCAGGTTTAAAACTTCACTTTCCACATTTAATCTCCTTTACATGGAACATACAGAACTTACGTTCATTTACAGTGCTCTAGAGAGAGCTGATCTCGTGTTCTTATAGTAGATACTATTTATTATGAGCTTACTAAATGCCAGACACATTACAGACCTCATCTCATTGCATTCTTAGCACAATTCCAGGAAGCAAGTATTATTATTTCCATCTAGAGATGAGGAAGCTAATGCTTAGACATGGTTAAGTAAATTGCCTGACATCACTCAGCCAGCAAGTGGGAGAGCCGACATTTAACTTCAACAAACTTTCGGAGCTTAGCCATGACATACCTCCACGTGTCACAAGGGCTCCAAAATGGGCTCACCCACAACACAGTCACCAATGCTAACGTGCTTACCCACTGGCCACCCTCTCGGCTTTTCCTCTGACGTGCTCTTCTTTAGCATCAGCAAGGAGCCTGCTCTGGTCTGCTCTACAGAAATGACATCCGAAGCGGCATTCAGCACTTCAAACATAGACAGGAACCCATACTGCATGTACTGGAATGAGCGTCCGAATCGCTTGGCAAATGCCTTGTCAAAATCAGAAAGGAGAACAGGAGATAACGCCAGGAGGTCCTTCAACTCACTCTTCACGACAGCTGGAAGAATAGGGGGCACCCTTCCTCGGTAAGGTACTTGCCGATGAAAGCTTGGCCCCAAGCAAACACCGGTCCTTCCCTTCTGCATGGAGCTCCGAACCTTATGACTGCTCCTCTGTTTTGCAACTAAACTTGCTATTCCTTTGGTGGATTCATCTGGAATGGCTGAAGAGAAGAGCAAAAAGAGAGAGCATATGTAGGTGAGAACTTACTCCCTTCTTTGTCCTCTGTACCTGCAGCTATAGAGACATTTTTTGACTCTCCAAAGAGCTGTGTATCTAGGTAGCATGAAAATATAAAGCCTTGGTTCTCTCATTTTTTTTTGCATTTTGAACAACAGCCTATTAGCTCCTCCACCAGAGGACAAAGAAAGTTAAAATCCAATATCTCATCACTACTGCTAATTGACTCCTGAAAGACTTGAAACTCAAGACGAACAAAAAACTTCCTTATGATTTTGTGTGGATGCACTTTGTGGAATTAAAAATGATTTTATAATTAAAAGGTCGCATTGTCATGTTTCTCCCAAATTAAGGTGCCATACTCTGAAATCATATGCAAAATGCAGTTTCTGTAAATGCACATTTTTTCTGGGGGGAAAGGGGCCTTCATTTTGCTAAAGCTGTAACTTAGCCCACAACTTCAAAGGTAGGTATTGCCTCCTCCCCCCTTAAAAAAAAAATTAAAATTCCCTGCCTAAGATGCAGGATAACTGCTAAACCCTTACGAAGTGGTGATTAGTGCAAAGCTTACCTTTCAGTATGACAGTTCCATCCCCACCGGGGCAGATACTGACAACATCAGGCATGTCCAGCACCAACTCCATGGTGGACCGATACCCAAGGATCCGGAGCGGTAAATGGCTCCCAACCATCAGAAGGTACTCCTTTTCCAACTGCTGCGGGGTCAAGCCATCTTTGGCGGAAATGAGGAGGGACCTTATTTCTTTCCGCAGGCATTCCTGGATGCGCTCTTGATCAGACATCGCGCCCTACGGGATGTAAGACAGGAACACGGCCCATAACGAGAAGCAAGCAAACCCAAGATGGACGAGGGAAAAAAAAAGAAAAAGAACAACATTTAAAACGATCAATAGTGAAATATAAACAACTGAGATGCGAGTTTTAAAAGCGTTAAAGGCCGAAGCAACATACAAGAATCCTCGGAAACGTGGGTTTCGCAAAGCCCCCACGCACGCAACTCTAAATCTCAGCCTGAGTTGATAACCTACGTGTGTCTCAAAAAATCGCCGCCACGGGCGATGGTGCGCGGCGTCCACGTTCTGCAGCGTTAGGTCGGGACCGGGCCGGGCCGTACTCGTCTGCCTCCTCACAATCGACTCCGGGAACCAGGGCTGGGAAGGAAGCGAACCCAACGCGGCCTTCCGTCCCAGCAAGGACGCTCGCCCCAGCACACGGCCTCCGGCCCGGGCCGAGGAGCGGCCGCCGGCGTCCTCGTACTGAATTCGGGCCTCTACGCCCGCCCCGTCCCCATTCACCCGGGGGAGGCGGCCCCTTCCCCGCCCCCAACGTCTCTCCCCACCCCGGCGGCGTGGGGAGTGGGCCTTCCACCTGCCCCCGGGGTCTGCGCTCAACCGGGCCTGGTAGAAGCCGGCGGGAGGGGGGAGGGGGGCACCCTTCTGCACCCGGCCCCGGGCGGCCGCCCCTCAGCCACGTCGCCCCGACGCCAGCGGCGCTGCCGTTGCGGGGCCCGGGAGAGTCAGCGGAGCCCCGCAGGGAAGGGCGACTACGGAAGAGTGCGCAGGGGCGGCCAGCGCGCCTGCGCACCGCGGCCCGGCGCCGCGTTCGAGCCCGAGGGCGCGCGGCCCGTGGGACGGTTGAGCCAGGCTGACCGCCCGGGTCTGATCTGGGCGCTATCCCAGGGGCAGGGCCCCTGGGACGGGCTCTCAGGCCGCACTGGCCGCCTACAGGGGTCGGAGGAGGCCTACCTCCTTCGACGGGGTTGAAAGATGAGAGTTGGGGCTTCCCCCTGGTTTCTCTCCGACCACCTCTCGCAAGTGGGCAGGTGGGCCGTCCTGCCCTAGGGACGACCCTCCAAGAGGTCAAGAAATTCTTAACCTGCGTGTGCCTCAGAATCGCCTGTGGAGCTTATTTGAGAGGGACACGGGGTCGGGGGAGAATGCCCGGGTTAATCTCTGATCAGCAAGAATTTCTGATTCAGTAGGTCTAGGTCTGTTAGGGGTAAGCACAGGCAGTTCTGGTGCCTGGGGAGAATCACTGTGGAGAGAGGAATGCAGGGGGTGAGGAAGGCGTCCGAGTGGAGACCATTCCAGGTGCCAACTGGAGGAAAATAAGCCGGGAAGCTAAAGACGAGGATGTATTTACTGAATGGCTGGAATGAGCCAGATTTATAAGATCCTATAAGATCATAAAACCATAAAGCAGTGGTTTAAGAGGTAGACCAGCAAAGCATAATATATTACCTTAAAATGTACAATCTACTTAAAGGAGCAAGACAAACCAGAAGATAACAAAGGAATTTGAATCAAGAAGGAGACCTGACCACACACATCTACTTTACCTTCTATCTAAAATTCCAAAATTCTGGGGGGAGGGGTGGGACCCCTAGAGAACAGAATGCTCCACGAATGAGCCAGGAATGTTGAGGAATCCTTTAAATCCCTTAATGACAAAAAAAAGGGGGGGAAATACATGAGCTGGTATGTAGCAGAATGGGTAGGGCTAAACAGCCAATCAACAAAAAGGAAAACTGGATGTGAAGAATGGATACAGACACTGCAGCCTCTGAGTGACAGGTGTTATGGAAACCACAAAGGATGGTGGTCAGGGTTGGGGGTTTAAAAAGAAGAAGCCGTTCCGGATTTGAAGAAAAACACAAACTCTTAGATTACAAGGGTCCCCTGAGTCCTTAGAATAACTGATGAAATAGGTTACCTATAAAGCAATGGAAATTAGATTGCCATTGGATTTCTCAGCGGAGCAATATTTTCCAAGCTCAAAGTGAAATCCTTTACGCAGCCAATTCAACATTTAAGCAGGAAAAAAGACATTTTCAGACATGCAAGGATTCGGAAAGTTTATCATCTCACGGGGGAACAACTCTTGCAAAGTGAATTGGAAAAAGATAAAGAAAGCCCCATTATCCCAGATTCTCATCCCCAGTTATCTGAGTTAATGGGTAACACATGTTGAGCATTTACTACATGATCATAACACAGATTATCTAATTTTCGTTCCTTTTCCACAGAGAAAGCTACAATTATTATCCTCATTTGAAAGCGAAGAGACTGATATACAGACATAGACAAAGATATTTAAAAAGTCATAGGCAATAAAAATATGAAAGTTCTGATTAAATCTAGAAAGTTACTGGCATATAATGTAAAAAAAAAGATTTGTAAAAAGATATTCTGGAGCTACATTCCAGATCAATAACCATAAACCAAGTGTCAGGGGCTGTTTGGGCTGCTTCAGGAAGGAGACCCCATTCAGAAGAGCCTCTACGATTGGACTCCTCACTTGCTCAGGTTACAATATGCACGGTCATCCTCCCAGACTGGCTGTCTTCTGTGGCAGCTCACCTGGGAAATGCATGGGAACGAGGAGGATCACACCTGCCTCTTTCACACTTTTCATGGAGACATTCGCCTCTGCGGTCCTCCAGATACCTGGCAATGCTCTCCATGTACTACTCCGACATTCCAGTTGGCATTTGCTACCAGAATCGCCCTTACTCAATGAGTGAACACACCAATGAAGAAATTCTGTCGGTTGCTAAGATGACCTATTCCCCTATTCACTTGGCAAGTTGGGTATGCAACCATACGATGCAGTCAGTCCCGGCCCTGGCCAAAGGTGAACTTGAGTGAAAATTCAGTTCATGTATCACCTAACCCCTCCATAAGCTCAGAATGTTGACAGCAAACCATGACATTCTGAGTCCCGGAAATTAGTGATGGCCCCTGAACATTTTGGGTAGTTTCTCTTCTCCAGAGCCTTAAGCGATCACAAGGCCTTTGGGGAGACGCTGGGGTGAAGGTTGCAGTGCATAGGGCCAGTGTCTCACAGCAGCCTGCTTTAAGGATATCTGGGGCTCATTCTGGGTCTGGGATCTGATTCAGTTCTGGGGACAGGGTGACAAGTCAGGTCTCTTCACTCATGAGCTATCTCCCCAGGCCTCGAATTGCGTTTCCTCGGTTCTTTTGCTTTTTGTTGTTACAAAAATCAAAAAGACTTACTGGGGTTGTTGCGTTCATTCCCCGGATCCTACAATGAATTAAGCACAACCAGAGGGCTCTGTGAGTCAAGACCAAGTATTTTCCACCCTGCTGCTTATTATGATGACCAGGGTCCTTTTCCTGCTGGTAATTACCAGTCTCCACCTGGTCTCCTCCCAGCCCTGCTTGCATCTGGGAGTGTATTTTAATTGCATCTGCTCCTACCAGCATTCTTGCCTTAGAAAACAGCCAGTAAGGAATGTGTGTGTGTGTGTGTGTGTGTGTGTGTGTGTGTGTGTATTTTGAGCTTCTGAAGCTTTAAGATATGCCTCGTGACAAGAATGAATCTTTTGAAGAATATTTAGGGATGGGTGAGTTAGAAGCTCATGATAGAACCAATACAGCATTCTTGTCTCTCAAAAAGTTTTTTTAACATCATGACCCATGGTTGGGGGGGAGGGGCATTTGATGCCACTGTCCAGTTCTGCTCCCCATGGCAATGACTCCGAGCCGTGGCCTTCCCTTTCACGTCTCCTACCCACTCCTGCCTCACCTCTAGGAAATGAGTGTGCTCCGGCTTCCAGAGAAAATGGAGGCTCTCATACATGAAACCCCTCAGCTTCCACGCCAGGCTCCAGCCTAGCTCCCTCACATCATTCCTCCCGGTCTTGGAGGGTAAGGAGCCATCCATTCTCCCTACCCATTTTGCTCTCGAGTCTATCCCCCCAACTCCTTTAGGACCAAGACCTTGACCTTTGGTTACTATTACACAGTTCTGTATATCCAACGTCTTTTTATAAACTCCTTTCCAATAACATAAAACTATGCTTGAATTTTTTTTATTGTACACACACAACACAGACACACAGGGAGGGAAAGGGACAGAGAACAAACTGTTCTGACCTACACCCCTCTACCCATTCCCTCATGGCCGAACCCTTGAATAAACAGTCTGTGCGTATCTTACCCCCGGTTTTACATCCACTGTTCAATACTCCCTCCAAAGCAATGAACCTGCTGCTCTGAACATGGTTCTTACTTTACTTTTATCAAAATCAGTGACAAATCTTCCAGCGGACAAACCTTAAGGGCTTCTCAACCTTTTCGTCTTAGATGATCTCCGACGTTCATTCTTGGTGTCCTCTCCCTCTCTGAAAATCTCTCCTCTGTGGGCTTCCGTGATACGGCTGCCCGGGCTCCCAGCCTGACGCTCTGTCACTTATTACTGTTATTCCAACGCGCCCCAGGGTTTTCCTCGGCCAATCTCCTTTTCAATGTTTCCCCTCTTCCTGGGCAACCTTTTTCACTCTCTTAATTTCAGCTTTGGCCAACACCTTCCAGAAGGCATGTTCATTCAAGTAGCAAACATCCTTCAGCTCCAAGTACATGCCAGGCACTGTTCTAGAACACAGAACTACATCAGGGAGCAAAACAAAGCAGATAAATATGTCATGCATAATGTCAATTAAGGGTAAATGCTCTTACGAAAAATAACCCAGGGTAAGGGAGTGAGAAGGGGCTGCTTTAAGCGAAGGATGTAAAAATCACTTTTGTTTAACCTCTGTGACATTGGCTTCTCAACACATTGTTCCAGAACAGCAGCATAGCCTGGACATTTGTTAGAAATGCCCATTCTCAGGCCCCACCCCAGACCTGCTGAATCAGAAGGCGAGGGGGTGGGGTGCAGCAATGTGTTTTAATCAGCCCTGCAGGTGTCTCTGGCGTGTGCTACGGTGAGGACCACCGGTCTGGAGCAGGTTCCCGCTGGACACGCCTTGAATAGATTGCAGGCCTGCAGGCAGTGTAGTACCAACAGTCTCAGCCCACCCGGCAGCGTGAAGGCTGGGGAAGGGTGTGGCTGGGAGCCCTCCAGCCCAAGGTAACATCCACCCAGACTTTTCAGAAGTGGGATTAGCAGGCTTGCCCACAGGCCTGCAGGTAGCAAGGTAAGAGCCAATCAACACTCACTGATACGTTCAAAAAGCAGGAGCCAGAAATAAACCCAGGCCTTTCTGGTAACTTAATACTTGGCAAAGGAGGCAAGAACATTCAATGGGACAAAGATAGTGTATTCAATAAATGGTGTTGGGAAAATTGGACAGACATGCACAAAAAAGTGAAACTAGACCACACTTCTTACACCATACACAACAATAAACTCAAAATAGATCAAAGACATACATGTTAGGCACGAAACCCTGAAAATCCTATAAGAAAATATAAGCTGCAAAATCTCAGACATTTCTTGTAGCAATATTTTTTTCTGATATATCTTCTTGGGCAAGGGAAATGAAAAAAAATAAACGGACTACATCAAACTAAAAAGTTGTTTGCATACAAAGGAAACCATCAACAAAATGAAGAGACGACCCACTGAATGGGAGAACATGTTCCCCAATGATA